GTTTTTGTTTCCGTGATGGGACGTGGCTAACCCAAGAACCACCGTGCCGATTCCTTTTTCAAATTACGTCAAAACCAAACCCAAACTCTCAGTTTTCATTCCATGTCATCTCAGTGCCTGTACGGTTTTCGCAATCTGTATTTCTCAGCTGTCAACAGAGGGAGAACGATTTGGTTCAGATGGATATGTTACATTTCGATCCTTCTCGGATCTTGTCATCGACCCTTTCCTGTCAGGTTTAATTGGAGTGTTGTTTGCACGTAAGATGCCTTCCACATCAGAATTCGCAATGACTGTTCTGAGCAAAAGTGTGTGTGTGTAAAAGCGTCTGTGGGTAAAAGTGTCTCTGTGTAAAAGCGTTTGTGTGTAAAAGCGTCTGTGTGTAAAAGTCTCTGTGTGTGAAAGTGTTTGTGTGTAAAAGCTTCTGTGTGTAAAAGTGACTGTGTGTAAAAGCGTCTGTGTGTAAAAGCTTCTGTGTGTAAAAGTCTCTGTGTGTGAAAGTGTTTGTGTGTAAAAGCTTCTGTGTGTAAAAGCGTCTGTGTGTGAAAGCGTCTGCGTGTAAAAGCTTCTGTGTGTAAACGCGTCTGTGTGTAAAGCGTCTGTGTGTAAAAGCGTCTGTGTGTAAAAGCGTCTGTGTGTAAAAGCGTCTGTGTGTAATTCTTCTGTGTGTAAACGCGTCTGTGTGTAAAGCGCCTGTGTGTAAAAGCGTCTGTGTGTAAAGCGTCTGTGTGTAAAAGCGTCTGTGTGTAAAAGCTTCTGTGTGTAAAAGCGCCTGTGTGTAATTCTTCTGTGTGTAAACGCGTCTGTGTGTAAAGCGTCTGTGTGTAAAGCGCCTGTGTGTAAAAGCGTCTGTGTGTAAAGCGTCTGTGTGTAAAATCTTCTAAGCGCAAATCTCAGCTCTAGACCAATGCGACCACAAAAACTTAAAGCAGCCGCAGACGTCACATGTCATTCTGCTATGACACCATCTTTTTCGCTGAAGTGACCAAACAAAATGTCTGCTAAAGTTTAACAAAAAGGCTCGGTACCATGATGATGTAAATGATGCGTGACATCTCATTTTTCTTTGAGAATTCTCATATAAATCACTAAACAAGCTCGGTACCATGATGCCGGAGATAACACATGTTACACTACTTTGCTCGAGAAATGTCTACACTTGCTCAAGCATTACAAAAAAGGATCCAATACCATAATGCAGTAAATGACACATGTTATCTCATTTTATTCCGGGAATATCCCACACAAACTATCAAAAAAGCTCGGTACCATGATGCTGTGTATGACACATGTTATTTCATTTTATTATGGAACATCCCACATAAATGGCCGAAAAAAGGTCGGTACCATGATGCTGTAAATCACACATGTAACAATACTTCACTAGTGAAATGTCTGCAAACGTTTGCACAAAAAGGTCCAATACCATCATGCAGTAAATGACACACGTTATCTCATTCTATTCTGGGAATATCCCACACAAACTATCAAAAAATCTCGGTACCATGATGCCGTGTATGACACATGTTATTTCATTTTATTATGGAAAATCCCACATAAATGGCCCAAAAAAGCTCGGTACCATGATGCTGTGTATGACACATGTTATTTCATTTTATTATGGAAAATCCCCAAAAAGATCGGTACCATGATGCTGTAAATCACACATGTGACAATACTTCACTAGTGAAATGTCTGCAAGCGTTTGCAACAGAGCTCGATGCCATCATGTGCTTGATGTCAAAAACAGAAAAGTTTGAGTTCAGGACCATAAAAAGTCATTGAGCGACGCTCGTCAAAAAAACATTGTCGTTGTATGGTCACAACCTTGGTGTAAAAGAAAAGCGTGTTTCTGAGCAAGTGTGTGTAAAAGCGTCTGTGGGTAAAGGTGTCTGTGTGTAAAAGCGTTTGTGTGTAAAAGCTTCTGTGTGTAAAAGTCTCTGTGTGTGAAAGCGTCTGTGTGTGAAAGCCTCTGTGTGTAAAAGCGTCTGTGTGTAAAAGCGTCTGTGTGTAAAAGCCTCTGTGTGTAAAAGCGTCTGTGTGTAAAAGCGTCTGTGTGTAAAAGCCTCTGTGTGTGAAAGTGTGTGTGTGTGAGTGTGTAAAACAAAGGCGTGTGTGTGTGTACACTGCTATTCACATGCAGAAAACTACAACTGGACATTTGATGACTATGCACGTTATGTTTTCCGAATTCATGCGCCAAAGACTATGCACGTTATGTTTTCCGAATTCATGCGCCAAAGACTACTTAACAGCAGGGGGCTGCAGGGAATGTCATAGTTCTGCAGCCAACGAAGACGGCTATGACATTCTGTGATATCGATCCGGGACGCTGGATCGACGTACCTGCCTAATCATGTCTTTCCATTTCCGCGATGGGATGTGGCTAACCCAAGAACCACCTTGCCGATTAATGATTTGGACCTGGTTTCACCTGTTTATCAAGGATGATGGACTCAGGAATTCTACCAGGCATGTACAACCACATCGTCATTGCAGTTCACTTCCAAAAATCAACAGTGTGCATTAGTCATGTGTCCTATACAGACCATGACCTCATCATCCCTAATGGGGAAGAACAATCTTGGCATAGTGTGCCGAATCCGCCCTCTACGGAGGCAGAAGTTGAGCGAGTAGCCATAGGGGCTGCTAGAAGTGATGGCAATAGCCGAAGGGGGGTCAAGGACAATTGAAGGGTGGCATAAGCCGAAGGAGTGCCCAACGGGCGAATGGTGCCCATAGGGCGAAGGTGGCCATGTGCCGAAGGATTTTATTGGCCGGGAACCCTACTTCTTACTGTCATTTTATGAGTTTTCACCTTCTCTTTCAAATCAATTTACAATTGTGAGGACAAGAGATCAATTTGAAGAGATCTAGAATATAGGAAGACCTATCACAAAAGTGTGCGGACACACATAGTTTGTGATGCTCGAACCAAGCAGAATGTCAAACACGGTAGGGACCTTATCGCTGCAGATGTGTGTACGATCTTGATTCATGTTTTCGAGGTTTCTACTGAGCGAACACTTCAAACCAATCCAATAATTGAGACCATAGTCCTGTTATTCAAGAAAAATCGTCGGCCGCGCGCATGTTCCAATGGCCAGTGGGCTAAGCCAGAATCCCACACTGACCACTTTCGATCATGCGCAAGTTGACACATGATTTTGATGCGTTTTCAATCTGGGTAATGCATTCCCTTGGCTCATAGCAAGCTCTTTGACATGTTAAGTCAATTTGTTGCTTTTCATTTCTACACGTCATTCGTCATAACACACCATGTGCTAAATGTACTGACAATTCTTGAACAACTCATTTCTTCTTTCGCGTTCAGCAGACTTTTTCGCGATATGGAACTCCATGCAAGAAGCAAAGCTGCCAATGGACCGCCGTTGAGTGCTACCGTTGCGTATCTTCCGTCACAACCGATGGTATCACTGTCTTCACCGTGTGCAGCAGCTCCATTTGTACCACGGGCGACACCTGCATTTTCACCATTTCCCGGACATGCACCAGTTCTACAGACTCCGCCCGGTCCCCTTCCTTCACCTCCCCCCTCACATCCTTCACGTACAGTTGAACATGGACCTCATCAAGCAACCCCCAAGATACAACCTATCGCGGAGTCCTCAGCAAAATCAGGAGTATCACCGGTTCCCATCACGTTGCCAGCTGAACATGCGGAAAGACGTACGCCTACTTCACCATCCGGATTATCGTTGACTGTCAAAGGCATTGTAGGAGAATATAGATTGGAAGCTCAGAGTATTGATCATGCAGGACCCATAGTGTATCTCATGGATCGCATCATGACAGTGGAATCCAATTTGGCACAACAACGTCTTCAAGATCAACAGTTTCAGAATCAACAACTACAATGGCAGATGTGGTCGTCGATGCCTCAGATGTGCAACATGTTGGCTTCAGGTAGTGATCAACCACTTCCCTGTGATGCCATGCAAACAGTTAGTTCTGTCAATGATCCTATCGTGTCAAATCAGAACACAGTGGATCGACCACCACTAAAGAGAGTAAAGGTGAACACGCTCAAACCAGGAGAATGCAAACATACCAGTGATGATGGTGAATTTAGTAGTTTCTATCTTCCACAGGGAAAGACAGCGTTCAAATTTCTACAGCGATTCACGGTTGGCAGAAACGGTGAGGAAGTAGTGGAACTACAACATCCTATCCTCCGAAAATGTTTTGTGATTCCATGCATTGCTGGTTTTACATGTACAACTTTACTCCAAAATGAGTCGGACAAAGTCGATTGGGGCCAAGTATACTATGCACTTGTTCTTCGTGTACGATCGGATATTGTACTTACGAAACAACGTGTTCAGAATGCTCTCGTACTCCAGAAAGTGCGCGTGACAGCCTCCAAGTTCGTCCCCAACCTCGATTACTTCTCACCTAGTCGTGGATTTTTGACAGAACCTCAACTTAGTATGGTCTCAGGACCGCTCACTGAATTCTTCCTTCAGAAAATTCAGGCACAATTACAGGAGAAAGGTAAGAACATGACACCGACCATACGCTTCGGATGTGGACTCCTTTGCAAAGCGTTTACTATCCATGCAGACAATACTGAACTGTTTGGAGAAGTCTTGGTTCATTTTCGAGACAAGGATGTTCCATTTGCTCTGACTGTCGAATTGAAATCGTTTCCGTTTCAACTCCTCGAAGGCACTATGGACACAAAAAGCAAATATGCCTTTGCACACAATTGTTCATTAATGACAGCATGTGGCATTTTGGAAGATGGATGCATTCGCCCATCCGCAGTGGATGAATCAGACACAGATTGGTTACCTGTCCCTGGATTCTACTGTCGAGGAGCCATGATCCAAGGAAACGACCCCAAGGCTGAAAAAGCAAGTATGATTGCAGCTATGGTAAAAGCAGCAAAATACAGCCATTGTCAAGATGGAAACAAACCTCTAAGCATTGTAGGAGTTGCCCATAGTCGACAACATCATCATATTACAGTTCACCAGGGCGGTGTCGTCGCAGAGCAGGCAGCAAGCTTCTTTTACGACGCGGTCCATGGTCAGGGAGACAAGCGATGGTGTTTCAAAAGTCATTTGTGTACACTGCAAAGTATTGCTACATACGTCGACGATCGCCATACAGTATAAGGGAACCCTGTTTCACCGTTCAGTTTCTCCACTCACTCACAGGCATCAAAAAACGTGTACCTGCACCCAACACTTTATCATGCATTTGGTTTTTCAGATTTTTTCTGTGCATTAACCAGGTATTCAAAAATGATAAGTTCTTCTTTTTCAACCTGCAGGATGTGGTCGAACGTATTGCTGTTCCTTTTGTATCGTTTTCTCCCTAGCATGCTTTCGTTCACAGCATACAAGTTCTTTGGCGATAGTACCTGTGCTCAAGTTTTTGTAGTGTCAGTTGATCGTCCGATCAGTCTTTGGTCCTTCTCCATTGATTCCTGATACCTTCATGTATTCTCCTCGTCAGTCTCGCTCTCGCCATCCTGCTCGACATTCTCGACACGACTCTAGAGACCGGTCAGTTCGTCAATCACGTGGTTCTCGTCATTTTCGAGATCGTTCTAGATCCAGATATGAGAAAAATAGATCTCCACGCAGGTCTACTATGTCACAGGGAGTGCATGAATTTCGACCGGCTCCGTTTGAAGTATGCAGCAAATGGAAAACATCAGAGAGTCACTATGACACCACCCAAGAATATGGATTGAGTTTTCCCAAGGTGGTAGAGGCAACCAAGTGGTCTAGGCAACAACAACTCGCTAACCGTCCAGTGGAAGACATTCGAGCTTATGAGGTTTGCAGTGGAGGTTCATCAAATTGGTCGTTGCGACTGATCTCCAACGGACGCTATGTGTCATTTGAAGCTTTCCGATCCAAAGTAGATGCTATTTTGTGGACATATGTTTCCAGAGAGATTTACAAACATCCTCATTTGGACCTCCACCAAATCATGGGTATCAAAGACGATGGAGTACAACAAGATTGGGATGCGAAGTTGGATACCATCAATAAGTTTGGCGATGAAATTGTCAAATTTGTGGAATCAAAAGCTCCAAAAGACCCCAACCAACAGATGCTTGAGCAGATGGAAAAGTTGAAGGAAGAAAATGCCCTTCTCAAACAAAAGATGTCGCAGAGTACTTCAGGCAATCCACCCCCAGCACCATCAGCACCAGCCCGTCCCAACGCCAATGCCATGGGACCCATGGATGCATTTGTGAGACCTGGTAATGTAGACGCATCCAAAGCACCCCTGGACCAATATCGTCGGAAACCACCTCAACCAGCTCTTCTCAGTTCCAACAGTCCCAAAGACGGCATCCCCGCCAAAATTCGCGACTGGATTCAGGGCAATTTGACCAACAGTGATCAAGAAAATCTACAGGCTTTGACACAGACTATCCAAGAGGAACTCACAGCAGCAGGACCAGATGAACAACCGGCGATTGACAAGATCCTAGTAGACTGGGGCCTCAGTACAGTTAAGGTCAACAAGATGAAACATGAACAACAGATCAAGCTTTTGGCGGCGGTGCAATTCCTCAAACACTGACTACTGAGTAGAGTAACACCGGGCAGCAGTTTGACCAATAGAGCTCGGCAATTTCTTAGCACACTTGTATTAGCTACCATTCTGATTCAATTCATGTTATCAAACACTGAAATGTCATGGGAAATTCAGCGCCTTTTGTGTTGGCTACGAGCTCAGTGGTGCGTGACAATTTTGATACATGAGTGCACTACACGATTTCGGAAAAGAATCGTTGCCATTTTGCGAGCACATCGAGTTCCTCACAATTTCACTCTTGAGTGGTTCATGCGCACATCCATTGTTTACTTGAAGGTTTCTTTGTTCCACCGATATTTTTACATTGGCTCGACACATTTGGATATGTTTCAACGTGAACAAAGTCGACTTCGAAAATACCGACAGTTGGAAAGACATCAACTGGCATATTATGAACCAGCTCTCAAGTTCTGGCATAAAACAAGCACTTTTTGGCACTATGTCGGCATACCCTTAAAGTACGTCAAAACAGACGTACTTGCAGTAGAAACAGCACTTCAAAAACAGTTGTGTCCAACACTCAATTGGCCACACATTTTACCATTATTGCGCAAATACAACATCCAGCGCCAGCACTACACACTCCCTACGACAAAGACACATGTGACAATGGGACAGACAGTGATGAAACGTTGGAACAAAATGAACGGTTCCACTCGTACCACTGCAGTGACAATACAACGAACACACAATACGCTGGAGGATAAATATCGCATTTTATATGCTTTGGGCTCTGATACAATACAAAAATTCCATGTTTCTGCACACCTTCGACAATTTTCAATTTCAACACCATATATTTTTCTACTATGGCGACTGTCCCGATTTGTGAATGAACCATTTCGAACACGATGTCAAAGTCAGTTGAGATTGATATTGGAATTTCGGCATACTACGACTCCACCTGTCAATATTCCGCTGCGACTTCATATTCCAGATGATGCTATGTTTGAGAATATTCGAAAGTGGATGCTTGGTTTCACATTCTTTCATCGTATCCATTTTCCACCTCTTCACAAACCACGGGCACCTATCATCCATATAAAGAACCAGACTTGGGGACAAGTACTTTTCAATTTTCGACGATTCCTGAAATGGTGGTATCCAGACAGAACACCGACTTGCACGTGCAATCGATTTCCAAGCCATATTCAACAAAAGAAAAAGAATACTCCACATATTGTCGCCTGGGCCTCAGAATGCTTTCCAGATATTCCAGAATTTCGTCACCACGCGGGCAGTGAAGTGGCACCTACATGGCGGATATTCCATTATCAAGCTACAGAACAATTCGAGAAATGGTTACGAAAATGGCGTTTACCCGCACACCTTCAACAATATTGGCAATATTTTCTGAATCAACAATGGAAACTATTTCGAGAACAACATGGACCTACACATCGTCGACAAAGTCAACTTCGTCAGTTACTTAGTCTATTTATTGCCACTCCAGCAAATCATTTTCCCAACTCCTTATTACTGATGTGCCCAGTTCAGTACCATATTCTACTTCAAAAAACTTTTGGCGATACAACAGTATTTCGACCGTCACATCTTGGTGCAGAAGAAATTGTGACAAATATTCAGGAGAATGTGCCTTCTTGGATTAAAAAGCAGTATCGCTGGGGACTGAACTTCCAATATGCTTTGAGCACAGCCTACCTTTTGCCTAAACCCACACGTCAATTTGAAAAAGCAAGACCCATTGTCGACTACTCGCATTCTTGGTTAATGAAACTAGGTGGGTGTCTTGCTACAGCACTTTTGGAAATCAGTAGACCGGTATTCACCAATCTCATGCAGTTCACAGACGTTGAATCTATTCTAACAGCTGTACGACACATTTTTACAATCCACGACCTGGAGGATACCTTGGATATATTACAACAGGACATTGCTGGTTTCTACAATCAAGTTTCTCATGACCGTATCATCAACAGCGTGGAATTCACAGTCCAACGATTTATTGACCTTCAACAATGCCCACAGGATCAAGTTCTCAACATTACTTCACGCAAGCTAGAAAGGACACAACGATTATTTCGAGGACGTTGGAGAGCTCATAGCAAGCAGCATCATATCATTACACTCAACCACATTGTTGACTTAACGAAGTACCTCCATAGCTTATTTTCACTGGGATGTGTTAGCTACCGACAGATACAAGGCGCATCTATGGGCTCACAGTGGGCCCCAGTTGTATGTTCACTAGTTGCCCTACATCGAGAGCACACCTACAGCATGCTTTTTGGACAAGCCATTTTTTCTGGAAAACTTTTTAGTTCCTTTCGTTATGTTGACAACCGTCTGCTTTTGGGTCCACAACAACTCACTGATCGCCTTCGACAAACTTGCTTTTGGAATTTAGACTTCTACACCTCGCCCATTCTTTTGGAAGAAGTACAGGGTTTTGATGCACTTGGATTCAACATCAATCCACATCAACGTACCATTACATCGGTATTGCCTTGGGACACAGTGATACGCACTTCCGCTGGTTTTGGACCTAGAAGCTCCATGTATACAGGTCTCATTGCTCGAACACGTCTAATTTTACAAAATACTTTTCCTCGTGAACTTCAACTTCCTCAAGTTCAAGACCTGCTCGCCCTTCATACCCTTCAGGAACCTAAATACCGCGAATGCATTCCTCAGATCATTTCGATTGCCCGCCGTTTTGGACACATGGACCAGACAACAATTGACACCGTTTGACTGAAAAGAAGCCGTCGTAGCTGCATTTTGGTTTTGTGCTTTTCATTCCAATTGCAACTTTGCAACTGTTCAAACGTTTTCTGCAACATCCCACCCAAAACGCCTGGCTCGCAGTGTGATATTTGTTTTTCGTAATTGATTATATTCAGTTCTCCAGCTTAGTTTACGTCCGTTGTTCTACTCTATATGGTTCACGGTACTGCAACACACTGGCTTAAGTGTTATATAACTGTGATTTAATCAATCCATTTACTGTTTTCATCACTGCGTTCTATCTCAACCACCTGACCTACGTGTTCTACGCGTCGGAATCTCATTTTTTGGCGAATTCTGCCCTTCGTCCATAGACAACTAATAAACGTTCATTTTAAACGGATTTGTGGAAGAGCAAGAATACAATCGATTTGTGTCCATTTCATTTCGTGGTATCCATGTTTCAATTGAAGTGCAGTTATCTTCACTTTTTAACACTCCAAAGTTATACTGTCCTTGCTCTATTTGTTCCACGCGTCGGCAACCCAGAAGTGTCACCTTCCTTATGAAGACATATGTATATATGTGTATACCGCTCTCCACATGCAAAGTGTTGCGCAATCTGCAACAAACAATGTTCGTGAGGGACAAGGGCACGATAACTTTGGATTGCATCATATTCAATTATTTCGCTAATACAAACTTTGGATTGCATCATATTCAATCATTTCGCCAATAACAATTAACACCTTTTAATCTAACCATGTCCTTTCCATTTCGACTTTATTTATCGCGATTTCTTTGATCTACGTGGTCTACTTGCTCTACACGCCGCTACCTCAGAGTGCCTTCTTTGGAAAGACCTGTCCATGAAGATGCAGGTGCGTATACACCTAATCCCAAGCATGAATTTCATTTTCGAATGAGTTCAACGTTGCTTATATTGACGTGATCTGCTTGCTTCATTAGGCAGTCTTTCAGAATTTGCCTTCCATGTGAAGGCCTTTGTGTGTGTGTGTGTACACTGCTATTCACATGCAGAAAACTACAACTGGACATTTGATGACTATGCACGTTATGTTTTCCGAATTCATGCGCCAAAGACTACTTAACAGCAGGGGGCTGCAGGGAATGTCATAGTTCTGCAGCCAACGAAGATGGCTATGACATTCTGTGATATCGATCCGGGACGCTGGATCGACGTACCTGCCTAATCATGTCTTTCCATTTCCGCGATGGGATGTGGCTAACCCAAGAACCACCTTGCCGATTAATGATTTGGACCTGGTTTCACCTGTTTATCAAGGATGATGGACTCAGGAATTCTACCAGGCATGTACAACCACATCGTCATTGCAGTTCACTTCCAAAAACCAACAGTGTGTGTGTGTAAAAGCTTCTGTGTGTAAAAGTGTCTGCGTGTAAAAGCGTTTGTGTGTAAAAGCTTCTGTGTGTAAAAGCCTCTGTGTGTGAAAGTGTTTGTGTGTAAAAGCTTCTGTGTGTAAAAGTGTCTATGTGTAAAAGCGTCTGTGTGTAAAAGCTCCTGTGTGTAAAAGCATCTGTGTGTGAAAGCGTCTGCGTGTAAAAGCTTCTGTGTGTAAAAGTCTCTGTGTGTGAAAGTGTTGGTGTGTAAAAGCGTCTGTGTGTAAAAGCGTCTGTCTGCGTGTAAAGCATCTGTGTGTAAAAGCGTCTGCGTGTAAAAGTCTCTGTGTGTAAAAGCGTCTGCGTGTAAAAGCGTCTGTGTGTAAAAGTCTCTGTGTGTAAAAGCGTCTGTGTGTAAAAGTCTCTGTGTGTAAACGCGTCTGTGTGTAAAGCGTATGTGTGTAAAAGCGTCTGTGTGTAATTCTTCTGTGTGTAAACGCGTCTGTGTGTAAAGCGCCTGTGTGTAAAAGCGTCTGTGTGTAAAGCGTCTGTGTGTAAAAGCGTCTGTGTGTAAAAGTCTCTGTGTGTAAACGCGTCTGTGTGTAAAGCGTATGTGTGTAAAAGCGTCTGTGTGTAAAAGCTTCTGTGTGTAAAAGCGTCTGTGTGTAATTCTTCTGTGTGTAAACGCGTCTGTGTGTAAAGCGCCTGTGTGTAAAAGCGTCTGTGTGTAAAGCGTCTGTGTGTAAAAGCGTCTGTGTGTAAAAGTCTCTGTGTGTAAACGCGTCTGTGTGTAAGCGTCTGCGTGTAAAAGCGTCTGTGTGTAAAAGCGTCTGTGTGTAAAAGCTTCTGTGTGTAAAAGTCTCTGTGTGTAAACGCTTCTGTGTGTAAACGCGTCTGTGTGTAAAAGCGTCTGTGTGTAAAAGCGTCTGTGTGTA